TCTATCTATCTATCTATCTATCTATCTATCTATCTATCTATCTATCTATCAATCATTTATCATATGCACCACACATGGTGCATAAGGTGGGACAAAACCATGTACACGGGGTCCCAGTTACATCCAACAAAAACACAAATTTTACAGAAAAACATTAGTAAGATCCGAGTCATGAACTAAGAATATACTACATTCACTAAACTAAGAATACACTAAGCACCAACAGCACAAAAACAATGTGCCAAAACAACAGCAGCACGAACATGAGTCCGCACGAGCAGATGAGGACCAATTAACACAGCAACGTGAAATAATCAGCAGCATGAGATCAGCATCATGAATAGTCAGCAGCACACATAAAAAAACAAGTGGCATTACAGGTATTTTTCACAGTTTTTTTTTTTTTCCCCATGTTAGAGATTCATGAGTCTAATAGCCTCAGGGTATAAGCTGTTCCTCAGTCTAGTGGTTCTGTATGCTCGTCAGCCTTCTGCCTGACGGGAGCGGGGCAAAAAGTGTGTGTGCTGGGTGAGTGGTGTTCTTCATGATGCAGGTGGCCCTCTTCCTGCATCTGGAGGTGTAGATGTCTGTGATGGTGGGGAGACTGACTCCAACAGTCTTCTGTGCAGCCTTCACCACTCTCTGCAAAGCTTTTCTTTCTGCAGCTGTGCAGCCTCCATGCCACACGTTGATGCTGGAGCACAGGATGCTCTCCACTGCACACCTGTAGAAGGAGGTGAGGACTGAGCTTCCCAGACCAGCTCGTCTCAGCCGCCTGAGGAAGTAGAGTCTCCGATGAGCTTTCTTGATCAGGCTGGTAGTGTTGATGCTCCAGCTGAGGTTGTCATTCATGTGTACACCCAAGTACTTGTAGCTGGAGACCACTTCCACCACAGATCCTCCTATGTTCAGGGAGGGAGCAGGTGTGTTTATTTCTTCCAAGTCCACGGCCATCTCCTTCATCTTCTTCACATTGATGTGAAGATTGCTCATCCTGCGTCAGCTCTCCGGGCGTTCCACCTCCTGCCTGTAGCTGGACTCATAATAGTTTTTGATGTATCCAAGCACCACTGTATCATCTGCAAACTTTACAATATGACAGCCTGGATGGGTTGGTACACAGAGTGAACAGGAGGGGGCTCAACGCACAGCCCTGGGGGGAGCCTGTGCTGAGAGTTATGGTGGAGGAGGAGAAGTCGTGGATCTTCACAGATTGTGGTCTGTTGGTTAAGATGTCTAGGACACAGTTGCATAGACAGGAACTTAGTCCTAATGTGATTAGTTTGTCCATCAGAGTCTGGGGAATCATGGTGTTGAAGGCAGATGTGAAGTCCACAAAGAGCAGACGGACGTAAGAGTCCTTCTGTTCCAAGCGGGTGAGAGCAGTGTGGACCACAGAGGAGATAGCATCCTCTGTTGATCGGTTCTTGTGGTATGCGTACTGGTGAGGGTCCACGTTGATGTTAGCTTTGATGTGGGTCATGACCAGTTTTTCATAGCATTCATATATATATATATATATATATATATACAGTATGTACATCTCTATAGCTACTGTATACATATACAGTACTGTATATACATTCAGATAGGTAGGTAGGTAGGTAGGTAGATACTGTAGATAGATAGATAGATAGATAGATAGATAGATAGATAGATAGATAG